CCTGGCTAATTTTTGTATTTTTAGTAGACACAGGGTTTCACCATGTTGTCCAGGCTGGTCTCAAACTCCTGACCTCAAGTGATCTGCCTGCCTCAGCCTCCCAAAGTGCTGGGATTACAGGTGTGAGCCATTGCACCCGGCTCCACTCCAGAATTTCTGCTTGATGCTTTTTAATTATTTCAATTTCCTTGTTAAATTTATCTGATAGGATTCTGAATTCCTTCTGTGTGTTATCTTGAATTTCTTTGAGTTTCCCTAAAACGGCTATTTTGAATTCTCTATATGAAAGGTCACATATCTCTGTCCTTACAGGCTTGGTCCCTGGTGCCTCATTTAGTTTACTGAAGTCATGTTTTCCTGGATTCTCTTGATGCTTGTGGATGTTCATTAGTGTCTGAGCATTGAAGAGTTAGGTATTCATTGTAGTCCTCAGAGTCTGTGCTTGTTTCCCCCCACCCCCTTTCTTGGAAAGGCTTTCCAGGTATTTTAAGGGACTTGGGTGTTGTGATCTAAGTGTTTGGTCACTGCAACCATATCTGCATTAGCCTAGTAACACTGTGGTTCTTGCAGACTCATAGAGGTACCACCTTGGTGGTTTTGGATAAGATCTGGAAGAATTCTCTGGATGACTGGGCAGAGACTCTTGTTCTCTTTCCTTACTGTTTCCCAAACAAATGGCCTTCCCCTGCCTCTCTGTTTTGAGCTGCCTGGAGCTGGGAGAGGGATAACACAAGAACACCTGTGGCTACCACCACTGGGACTGTGCTGGGTCAGACCTGAAACCAGTACAGAACTGGGTCTTGCTCAAGGCCTGGTGTAACCGCTACCTGGCTACCACCTATGTTTGCTTAAGGCCCTAGGGCTCTACAATCAACAGGTGGCAAAGCCAGCCAGGTTGTATCCTTCCTTTCATGTTAGTGAGTGCCCCTGGGCACTGGGTGGGTCCAGAGATGCCATCTGGGAACCAGGGCATGGAGTTGGAAATCTTAAAATCCACCTGGTGCTTTATTTTTCTGTGGCTAAGCTGGCAAAAAAAAACACAAGACAAAGTTCTTCCCATACTTTCCTCCCCTTTTTATAGGCAGAGGAGTCTCTGTGGTCTCCACCACCCCAGCCTATAGTGAGTACTGCCTGGCTACCACTGATGTTCACTGAAGCCCCAGGGTCTCTTCAATCAGCTTGTGGTTGGTTGCTGCCAGGCCTGGGGCATATCCTTCAGGGAAGTGAGCTCCTCTATGGCCCAGGTCAGGTCTAGAAATGCTGTCCAAAAGCTATGGCCTAGAATCAGGGACCACAAGAGCCCTCTTGGTGCTCCGCCCCACTGTCGGTGAGCTGGTACCTAAACTACCCCTTTTACTCTTCTCTCTGTTTTTCTGAATCTGGAGTCTCTCCTCATCACCACCATAGCTGGGAGTGTGCTGGGTCACACCTGAAGCCAGCACATCCCAGAGTCTCACTCAAAGTCCATAGCATGTACTACCTGTCTACTGCTGCTGATTATTCAGGGCCCATGCGCTTTTTAGTCTTCCCTTCAAGACAACAATGTCCTTTATGGCCCAGCATGTGTCTAGAAATGTCATCTGGGAACTAGCTTCTCACACGGGGGCCTCATGACTCTGCCTGGTGCACTATCCTACTGTGGCTGAGCTAGTTTCCAAATTGTAAGATGAAGTCCTCTACTCTTCCCTTTCATCAAGTGGAAGGAAGTAGTCTTTTTCAGAACTGTGAGCTATGCTCCCTGGGCTTGGAGGAGGGGTGCTGCAAACTCTCCTTTGGCTGCTCTGGTTGATGTCCCCCATTAGGTCATGTGCCCCCGAAGTCCAGACTTTGATGCCTAGATCACCTTTCAAGTTTATTTAGGGTTCCAGAGCAGTTGAGCTTGCACTGGCAAAGCTTGCCAGAACTCAAGTTCCAACCACTGAGATAGATGAATTCACTCTGGCTAGGGCTGGTCTAAATGCTCCCTCTGTAGGCATTGGCTGAGTTCTGCCAAGTGTTGCTTTCCACTGTGACAGGGCAGCATAATCACTGTACTCTCCCTCCCTCAAGCCATACAGATTCACTGCTGCTGGGGAATAGGGGAAGGATGGTGTCAGCAATTCAAGACTGTTTTTCCTACCCTCTTCAGTGCCTCTTTCAGTGATTTTAAGTTAAAACAATGTACTGTAATTGCTCACCTAATTTTTGGTTTTTATGAAAGTGCTTTTTTGTGTAGATAGCTCTTAAATTTGGTGTTCCTGTGGGGAGGATGGTTGGTAGAGGCTTTTATTTGGCCATCTTACTTCTGATCTCTTGAAAGTGACTTCTTTAGCTAAATTAATCAAACATAGGAGATAAAATGTTTAGGGCAACTTATTCATATGTATTATATATTCTAGAGTTGATGCCTATGTAGATACTGGGGATTTATTGAATGTATTAGGCCATTCTTGCATTGCTATAAAGAAACACCTGAGACTGGGTGATTTGTAAGGAAAGAGTTTTAATTGGCTAATGGTTCTGCAGGTTCTAAGCTTTTGCAGGCTCTATAGCAATGCTTAGAGACTTCTAGGAAGGCCTCAGGAAGCTTAGAATCATGGCAGAAGGTGAAGAGGGAGCAGGCGCATCACATGGTGAAAGCAGGAGCAACAGAGAGGGTGAAGGGGTGGTACTACACAATTTTAAACAACCAGATCTTGCAACAGCTCACACTTGGTGCAAGGACAGCACCAAGAGGATGGTGCTACGCCATTCAGGAGGGATCTGTCCCCATGATCCAAACATTTCCCGCCAGGCCCCACCTCCAACACTGGGAATTACATTTCAACATGAGATTTGGACAGGGACAAATATCCAAACTATATCGTTGAGCTACCAACCTGGTTTTAATATGAAATAAGTTGTTCTCAAACTTTTTTAACATCAGGAGCCCCTTATACTCTAAAAATTATTGAGCAGCCTACAGAGTTGTGGATCTCTATCTATTAGAAATTAAAATAACTTTTAGGAATATTTGTTCATTTAAAACTAAAAACAAGCCTATCACATGTTAACATAAAAAACATTTTTATTA